TAGAAAGCAAGCAAAGGTTCTAAGTTTTTGTAATTGTTTTCAAGTGAGGTGCAAGGGTCCTGAATCACAGTAGTCAGAAGGGGGCAGCTCATGTTCTTGCCCATGGAAAGGATTCCCATTGGTTACACTACTGCCTCTGTCCAGGCTTCAGGCTATGCAATGATTCAATAGAAACCTTTGTCATCCACTTTGGAATCATATTACTATTCCACGGCCTTAGAACTGGCTCTAGAAGCTTGGATTCAATACTTGCTGTTCTGCATGTGCAGAAACAGGTGTAGCTGACTTAAAAGGAAAAACAGAAGAGCAACTAAATAATGTATATTTTTTCAGTTGCTATTATGATTTTTATCATCTGTTGAAATACCAAACCAGTATCCCAAATCTGCCAAAGTACCATTTCTCTTGGTCTCTATTAACAGAATAAAATGGAGAGATCAAGTATATGAAATAAAATTACAGTGTTCCAAAAGAGGAAAAAGGGCAGCTCTTGTGTTTTTAACCATAAGAGCTTTTTTTTTTCAGAATAGTAACTTTGAAAATTGTAAATTTTTAAAAAGAGAAGTGCTTCTGAACCTGATATATTGTCAAGAGTGTATGTATGACATTAAAACTCAGGGTCTTCATGGAATAGTTAGACAGGAAATGTCTGAAACATACCTAAACTAAAAAAAAAATTGATTGTATGAAATTCAAATTTAATTGGTGTTCTTAGATTTTATTTGCTAAACCTGGCAACTGTATGTATGTGGAAGAATAGATGTATGTAATTTATAAACACTATACAAATATATTAAAAGGCAAAGCAGAAATATCAGTCTTCAAATATATGTCTACTTAACCATGTCACTACAGCCACTTGCAGAGTTAAGGGAATGTTGGGTCATGAGAAATTTCTATAACCATTCTTAAGGGAATTAGTTTGGGTCTAGGAGAGGTTTTTTTTTGTTTGTTTGTTTGTTTGTTTTTAAGTGTTTCAATAATGTGTGATATATCTTTTTACATTTTCAGAAATTTTAAGAAAAATGGACAGCACCAAAGGGAATAGATAAGAAGAGATATCTATTGTGGAAGCTTTTAAAAACCTAGTGTAAAGATAACAGCAATTGTAGTTAATTTTAAAAAAATGTTTTTGATTCTCTATATGAAAGAACTAATGGTTTGTCTGTAGTTTGCATTTTAAAATGTCACTTGAGCAGCTACTTGTCTGCCAGCCAAGAAGTGGAACTTGATTTTTGTTTCATCATAAATTCCATAATTTGTTGCAAAATTGTGGTACAGATGGGGTGTTTGTTTTCCTTTAGTTATTTATCATGGAGTTCTGTCTTATTGGGTGGTCAGAAAGAAAATCACTCAATTCTAGTATGTTTGGGGATTTATTTCTGCTTTGGCATATGAATACTAAGGCTGATCCATTTTCCCTGATGGGTGAGATGTTTGCTCCAGATATTAATAAATATAACTTATTTGTTCAGCTGACCCACTTATAAGGTAAGTAGAGGTTCATGGGCAATGGCATGCCCATTATTCCTTCTTTAACCATGTCATCAACCCACTCAACTCAACTTTACTGGCCTCTCAAGTAAAACTAACATATGACTTAGGAAACTGAATAAAAAGTTTCAGGTTGTAAAGTTTGTAGGAGATGATATGCGTGGGTGTTATCAGATGACTGGAAAAACTAAGAATTATGGACATTGCAAGTTTTATTAAGAGATTTGGAGAAAATATGTGATACCCTTGTTCTGGCTTTTGTTCTTTATTTTAATGTCAAATTTACAAAGTAAAGTGTCCAGGCTTAGAAATTGAAGTCTATTTTCTTCAATTTTCATTTCTTCCATGCACAATAAGTGTAGAAAAAGTAAGCTTTTGAAATTGAAAAGGACCTTAGAAATTAGCTCTTATCCAACGTAAAACTGAGCTCACAGCTACAAACACCCCCAAGAAGCTAATTCATCTTACATGAGAGCACACATCTGTTTAAGGCCAGAGCTCAGAAAGACAGAAGCTCTGCTTACCAGTTCTCACAAACCGGTCTCACCACAGTTTCAGATTCTTTCTTCCTCTGCTAATCATTCAAGATTTCAGAAGGAATTTTCAACTCCTTTGCTTTCCTGATACCTGGGAATTCTTATTAACTTATGACTAACAAAGTATAAAATGTGAGTCAAAAGTTAGTCCCTAATAAAGTCATTGTGACTTTAATGACTTCGGCAGTTGTTTCATACTGCAAAAACAGGAAGATCTCATACAATAAGGCGCCTGTCTCACAGCTGGGCTCCTGCGTAGATGGCCACCCACCAGAGTAACTACTCAGGCTGTCTTCCTCTCCTTGGCACCTTTCTTTTCCGTTCTTAGAATTTTCTCCTATTGACTCTTTGGGAGTTTTATCAATGAAAAGAAAGAACTGCTTTAACTAGTCTTCAGTAGGTTATATGTTATTTTTGATCACTTTGGATTCATTCCAAAGTGATTTCCAGGACACTTCCATCTTAGAAGTAGTCACAAGCACAGTACTAAGTCCTTGTATTATCAGTCTTCTGGATTGCTCTGTTCTTAGAAACCAAATTGATAGATGTTAGGTTTAGAATGACTGAGTTCACCCCAGCCCACCATTCCTGTGTGATTAGATTAGCTAGATCTTCACTACTGAGTTGGTGTTTGCTTGCCTGTGAGTCTGCATAAAGCTCAAACTGAATCTCTGATGAGAAATACAGAAAAATGATGACATATTCCTTGGCTTCAGAAAAAACAGGCTCAGCAAATGATCATCTCTGTCGTAGCATCGAAGCTAAAGAATAAATGAAGCCATCAAAGAAGAAGTTCATCATTAAGAACAGTAGATTTTTCGCTTTTGTTCTATATATTTTAAATATATTATTAAAAGTAGCCTACTATTAAAATAGTGCTAATAGTAGTACTACTATTAAAAGTAGCCTATTAAAGTCACAGATTTTGTTGATGAGGTATACTCTGGGCAAACAATAATAAATCATTCCTATAGCAAATGACACTTTCTTGGCTTTTCAAGAAAACAGCTTCAACCTCTAGCAATGTTTGTGAATCTACCGTCAGGTAGAAGCTTACAGAGGCATTAGAGGAATTTGTGTTACTGAGGGTCCATTCACAAACTTTGCTTGTCTGCATTGAGCAGGGGATTTGGCCATTTCCTCTGGGGACATTATTTCTAGGTAGGCTCTAACTGGGATTCTTGTGAAGGTAGATTCTTACAGAAAAATCGGATCTATGTACATTTGACCCATTTATTTTTGACATAGGGTACTCCTGTTCATGAATGTCTCTACTGTATTTGATAAAAATTCTCCATCACTTTCAGTTCTGTAATTACTTGGGACACAGTTCCACTCAGGAACTGTTTTATCTTGTGTTTGAGCTGAACCCCTAACTTGATAAATAGGCAAGGAGTCCCTAAGAATCTTGCATTCTAAAAACCTGAAGGATGAGAACTATTTCTTTGGTGACTTATTCTGGTAGGCTGAAACATTTCCTATCTTGAGTATTTTTCTAAGTATCACAGGAGTTCAGTTTTCTGGGAATTATTAATTGCTGCTAAGTGTATGTCCACAAAATTTCACAGAATCATGACAGATTAGGATTGGGCAAGTAAGACTGTAAAATCGTACATTATCCTCGATTCACATATGGCAGGTAAAGGGACTCTTAGTGAAAGCTGAGAACTAAAGTCAAGCATGGTCAGCTGCCTTCTGGCTACTTCTGGCTCATCAAAAACAGCTTCCATCTGGGAATCAGAGAACCGAGCTACGCTGAGCTCTTCAGTTCTCTCCCCAGCCTTAACCTCAGAAGTAATTTCTGTCTGCTCCATTTCTTGATGTGTCTCATCGCACAAGCAAGCACAAGTCTTACTAATAGGACTCTGCATTACTAGACTGTAGCACATATCCACATCTGCCCCTTGTACAGAGCAGGACAGAAGTGGGCCCTTTGTAAATGCTTTTTGATGACAGCAATGATGGCTTTAGTCAGTGCGGTTGGGCCCTCCCTTGTGGAGGAGGAAAACCAACAGTTGTTGCTAAGCAACATTTAAAAGACTGGGTCGGTTTCTGACACCAAGTGACCTTCATTACATACTTCATTATGTTGTGTGTTTTATGGTTGCTTTGAGTTGAGTGAGTTTTGGTTGTATGGTCGTGCTTTTAGCAAAAGGCTCATTGGAGAATAATTTAGGCCTGAGAAGGAGAAAGGTGGTATAGAGGAGTGTGCTGACCTCTTTAAGGAAAGCAGAAGAGGTAAGGAGTATGATTTACTCTCACTCTGTTCCCTCCTCCCACACTGGCAATGTATTCCACCAGGACTCTGCCATTGGAAGGCTTTAGTGATCTTTTCTGTCTTACCTGCCATTATCTTCTGAAGTAAAGCTCCAATATGGCTAATCATGAATCGGGCCCGGTCTCTCCAGACTGCTAGCTGTTGTGGTTAACCATTGTATCCTAATATATCTCAATCATTGTATTTGAATGAAACTTGTTTTAAAAAAATGAAGAGTTTTCATTTGCTCATTTGTTTTTCTTATGTTACTGCTATCTCTTGATTGCTTTGCCTGGCCGTTTTCAGTACATATTCAGTATATATATATATATATATATATATAGATCAAAAACATTATTAACTGGCATGATTGATGTCATACAAACCTAATTAACTCCAGAACATGCATAAGTATTTTAAAGAGAGTCTAAAAGTAGCACAATAAGGATGTTTATCTGAGTGAATGTTGTATTTGGTCTAAGTTTTTTTTTTTTTAATTAATTTATTTGAAAGGCAAAGTTGTAGGGAAAGAGAGGAAGAAACAGGGGAGAGATCTTGCATCTGCTGGCTCACTCCCCAAAAGGCCGAAATAACCAAGGCTGGGCCGGACCAAAGCCAGCAGCCAGGAGCTTCTCTCTGGTCTCCCAACTTGGCCCATCTTCTGCTGTTTTCCCAGGCATATTATCATGGAGCTGCATGGGAAATGAAGCAGCCAGGACTTGAACCAGTGCCCATACATCCAGTGCCAGCATCATAGGTGACAGTTTTACCTGCTATGCCACAATGGTGACTCTGGCTTGTCTTCACAGAGAGCATTGTGAAAAAGATCATCCATCTCCAGGCTTTTTACATGATACTTTCACTACAGTCCAAGAGAAGTTGCTTTTTTGCCAATGTTAGATAGAATAATTGGAGCATTTAACATTGCCTTTCTCAGTTTCTGATTCTTTTTTATATTTTCTGTCGTCTGAGGACTAATGAGTGGGGACCATTGTGACTCAGCAGTTATATCTTAAAACATAAGTAACTGGGAATTTATGTGATTCACCTGAGTTCAAATTGCAAAGAGATTCAATAAACAAAATGCACTAACTGAGATAATTGATTCAGAGATGTTTGGTTACAGCTACTAACACATTGTCTCCTGGGAAAATACACACAGAAACCAGCAGAGTTACCCAGAGAAAAAGATGGCTGTGCCTCTCTGAGGACAATGCATAGTGCAGTAGCCTAGCAGGCAGGAATTCTGACTTGCATTAGCTTCACCCTGACAGGCTAGGTCTCCTTGGCATGGGCAGTGGTGTGCCCAGGGGCTTGGATGCTTGAAGTGAAGCTATTGTTGAGTGCAGAATGCTCATTTGAAAGGGAATGCCTCACAGGAAAGAAAGCCAGTTGCAAGTTGGGGCTGTTGCTATGGCGCTTTGCTATTCCTTCAATATGCTGTACATGAACTCCTGCAATTGCAAGGGTAGGATAATAGAGGGGAGGGAGGAGAGGAATTGAATTGGCTTGGTTTGGGAATCCCACTGCAGTAGGGTTCTATTCTTAGATCTTCTTGCTTATTCGCTAAAGCTGACAAGGACAGGTAAGGGGAGAGGATGAGGGAGGGAGCGAGAGGGAGACAAACCTCTATAGGAAAGGCATGCCTTTTCAACATGCCCTAGGAGGCTAAAATAAAATAAAATTAATGTAGCTTAGTAAACAGTCCCTCATATCCCCAAATAATTTGCTGTTCAGCTAGCAAAAATTTTTTCCAACACTTTCTAGATCCTAGATGGAAAGATTAAAGAAGTTTAATCTAATTGTCAAATGCATCTAATATGCATATTACTGAGCTGAAGGAGTGCAGAAAAAAATCACATGTTGCATATAAGCTACTTTTCAAGCAAAATAAATTAAATCCATTCTCATTCATTTTGTTGTGAAAGCAGGGTAAATGCATCAGCCTACCATCTGTGGGCAAATAATCCTCAGAAAATCCTGTTAGAAACAAAAAACATCGTGTATACTGGGAACCTAGTCTGCAGACAGCCACAATGCTAACCTTTTTCCATGCAAGAAAAATGTTCAGAAAGTAAATCAATCAACTGCGCCATCTCTGAAAGGATTGGAGGGGCTGAGCTTTGTGCGTAGCTGCATCAGCGGACAGCAGGGCTGCAGCGGAGAGAGAGGGTTAAGGAACACCTAGTCGAAATGGGGGAGGGTAGAGACTTGAGATTTGCTTAAGTATTCATGGGGCTTCCTCCATTTTCATCTTCTGCTTTTCAAAAGATGGCTGTGTTTCCCTGTCTGGCAAGTCCTCAGGAAAGAAGAATTGCTGCTTCGTTGCAGAGTTCAGCTGAGTAGGACTAATCTAGAGTGGAAACCCCTTCGGCCTCCAGGGCTATTCATAATTCATAAGTGCTGCAAAGCAGCCAGCTGAATACATTTGGACAGGCTCTTGCTCCTTCGTGCAATGCCTGATTTCATTACTCTCTCCTGCCAGGAAATAAGCAGGGAGCACGGGGCTTTTTGTAAGAGTGGAGTGCGAAGATGGGTTTTGCCTGGATTAGGAAATGCCATCAATTTTGGAAGCTTTGTCTTTCCTAAGTTGTGATTATTTTACCACTGGATCTGCAGGGCTTTCCTGCTCCTTTTGGGACTGCTCTTTCAGAACTCTGAATTCTTTTCCAAGGGATTTGTGGATTGTGGCAAGGAGAACATCCAAAATGCCTGAGGCTAACTATTTGTTATCTGTATCTTGGGGTTACATCAAGGTGGGTTAATTTCATTATGTTATTTGTCTTTGGTGGACATCTACATGTTTTCTGTAAAGGAGAAGACAGCTGTAATATTTTACTTTATGTATTCATTTCATCCACTGGTGTGTGTAACTGTAAAATAAGTGCATATTGTATTACATTGTATTTAAGCAGGTTGTGCTATATTTTAACCTTATTCATTTTAGTCAATTCTGTTTTTAAAGGATGCTTCTTTTCTTAACTTTCCTTAGAGTTTTCATATATAGTCTCATATCTCTGCATATCACATTATTATATGAAAATGTGTTTTAATTGTCAATAAGTACACTTTTTAAAAAGTTAGATATTTAAATGAAATTATCTTGACCTCTATGAAAAATTGTTTTTGTGGTGCATCTTCAAGTAAAATTAAATGTCAATTTTCACAAATCTTAAGCAGGTGGTGTTAGAATAATGTCAAATGAAAACGCATCATGTTTGGTAGAACCGATTTTGTTTATTTAGTGATGTCTGCATGTTCAGTCTGTTGGTACCAGACAGTAAAGTTGAAGAGCATTTAAAGTCATAAATTTTTGTTTTTCAGTTGGTTAATGCATTTTTCTGTTTCATTAAACAGTTCAAAAGAATGCTGAACCGGGAGCTGACACACCTCTCAGAGATGAGCCGATCAGGGAACCAGGTGTCTGAATATATTTCAAACACCTTCTTAGGTAAGACATTAACTGGAGAAACTCTGTTCCACGATGCAGCTTTCCCTTCATTATTTTTTGCAACTTATCAGCCATCCCTTATGAATTTGGAATGAGGCTAAGCAAAACAGCCAAATTTATCTAAAGTAAGAACTAAGCCCAGTTCTTAGGGGAAAAAATTAAAAGATAAATTATTATTCAAAAAAGAATGAAAATATCTATCAAGTGCAGAAGGCTATCATGAACTGATTGGATTTACATGACACAGTCCCCTGTCATCTCCTTCACTATTTGCATCTCTGTCCAGTCCTCAAAGTACTGGGGACCCAACCACCTAACCTAAGAGACAGCTCCACCAACTCCTGACATGATATTCCCTTTGTTCTTATGATAACTGGGTTTCCAAAGCATTTTATAAGGTCTACAGTTCAGGAGTAAGTCTACAGTGATTTGGTCCATGAGAATGAGCTTTGAAAATAATTTGAGGAATGCCTTGCCAGTTCTTAAAAAAATGGGCAGGAGAGAGGTGTTGGGTTTTCATAGCTCTGGAAGTTAATTTTCTGCAACCAGCATCATTATCTTCCCAATTTGATCGTCTTTCTCTGTTTTTGCATTGCTAGCATTCAGCCCAAGACACTAAATAAAAAAAGGTCTGTGCAAATGATCCCCACCCAGCTACTGTCATGCACTCTGCCTGATTATTAGGGTTTTTGATCTTGGGTTTAAAGGCAATTCTCCTGTATGTATTTGGGCTCTTGATTGAATAAGGACTACAGAATCTGCAAATTGTCACTTCAAAGAAATGAGTGGCATTCAGATTCTGATTATGTTGACTTTCAATTACTGCTGAGTTAAACCTGTTTGTAACAGCTCATCTTCCAGGGAAGTAGCCCTGTTACAGCTCAGCAGCATATGTTCCCTTCCTTTTGGCATGGTCACCAATCATAGATCTGCTAGCATTCTTCTCAGTGCTTTGCAGAAATGCATACCTCTTCAGGTTTTATGTTTAAAAATCAATTTTATTTCTCTAACACCAAGACAGTTCCTGCTGCCAAAAGATCAATTAGCTTTCCCTTTGAGCAGCCTAGTACAAAGCTCACTGTGTTACTCTGCAGTTGAGGGTTACCCAACACAACAAACAAGTGGGATGTGATGTCGGCAGCACCTGGTTTTCTCCAGCTGCAGTTGCAACAAAGAACAAAGCAGAGGATATATTCATACGTGCTCATTTCCAGGGGTGGTTAGTGTATCTGAACAGAAAGCATTACATCCTGAGTCCTTTCATCTTATTTCTCTCGCATTATTCGTTTGGAGACAGGGGTTTCCACTGACCATTTTAGGTATACCCTGTTCTGTGACAACTGCCCTCCAGCTTGTGAAATATAACTAGCAGTGTTTGGGGGACATTTATATGGATTAATGACAGTCGGCAAAAATAAAATCAGTAGCTGCAGGATCTCACTTTTGCTTTCATAAATGTTGCATTTTAAACGACCAGGGCTTGTGTATCTTCTCAGATGATTATTTGTGCTAGTGTTAAAGTTGCATAATGTCTCTAAGCCCTTAATTATCCAGAACTAGATTTTTCATTTGAAGTCTTCTTCAATATACCCACCAAGGACAAGAATATTTTAGTATGCTAATTAATATTCTTAATCAGCTGAGGCTATGAAGAAAACAAGATCGTAAAATAAAATAATAAAAATGAGCTCCAAATCTCAAAACTGTGTCTTAAAAATGGGCCAATATCAATCCTTTTGTGGTATTCTATTTGCTATTTAGGTCCACTTCCAATAACTTGAATTTTCATTTTTCCAAACACTAAATTATTAAGAGCAAATTGTTGAGGAAGGTTGTTAGAATTTGAATCTCTACAGACTGTAAGCACTAAGAGGATGGTGCAACAGTATGTATGTATTATGTATGTATGTATGTGCTTAAATATGTGCATGACCAACCCCATTAAAAACAATTGATAGTTCAGGATTTTAGATCTTCTTGGGGAAAATATTTAGGGCAAAAAAAAAAAAGCCATTATGTAAATAAAATGTGCCTTAGTTGCTTCATTTTTGAAATGGGAGTGCTGAAATGGATGATGTCACAAGTTTTTTCCAAACCTGACATTATATGACTGATTTGCAAAGAGGTACCCGACAATCTGGATTCACTGTGTTACAATGTGACCATCAAGAACAAGGAAAGCTTGATGCCAGCGTGCAAATGCAGGGCATGGGGCTTTTAGGTTTGTTGGTGGTGAGCATGGGGACTGGTAGGGGCCTCCCTAAGGGACCATCAAGTCTTTATAAGCTGTCACATCTGCAAGGGACCACAGGGGCATCAGCAGAGAAAACAGAGACCAATAGGGATGGAAGAGCTTGATGAAAATCAGTTGCCCAGGATGTTCCTGAGCAAGAACTGGGACTTAGCTCTCTTGACATCTGCACCTGCCATGCCTAGCACTCTTGTAACCAGCAAAGAATGCTGCTAAGAACCGAGACCTTATGGAAGAGTCCACATTTAAGGACATTAAAGTTATGTGTACATTGCTTTGGGGAAAAAGGTCTTTTAAGAACCAGGATTATTGGTTTTATACATAGAAGGTGTCTAAATTTCTAGTAATTCAAAAAGGCTTTTGCCAGAACAGCAGTTTGGTCAGTGAGCACAAAATGAGAAAACCTCAGTATGTTGTGTTAAAGAATATACCAATAAGAGCCACTGATTGCTGGGATGCATCATCAAGGGAAGAGATACCTCCATATATCTGAGGATCTATGGAACTTGTATTGTCCCATCTGAACAGGTGGTGTTCACTGGCAAGGCAGAAAGGCAGGCTAGAGACCATTTACCACTCCAAGTATTTTGGGATACTGTTCTACGATAATGGGCACTGGCTTGTGGGGATAATATCTAAGTTCAGTGGAAATAAAGCAGAACATAGATAAAGTGAGCATAAAAAAAAACAAAATATATAGGTGTGATACCACAATTTAGTTAATACTTTATAGACAGGAACAATTATTTTTTAATTTCTTACTTAACATTCTAAAGCCTAGAATTTACAATTTCAATATATGGGTACAAGCACTTAGGAATTTCATATAATTTAATGATATTAAGATCTAACAAGAAAAGCCCCTCAATTTGATTTGATCCCCTCCCCATCCTCTCTCTGTTTCTTTCGCTCTTTTTCCACATCGCATCTGTTTCTTATTTGTTTAATACTGGCCCTATTGCAAATGCAAATTCATCAAATGTTTATGGTGATACGTGGTGCCTGTGTTTCAGGTTACTTCCGCACGATGCTAACTCAGCATTTAACGAAAGGAAATTCAGATTAGGGAAACTTAGCGGTGGCTCCACTGCCTGCCCAGGGAAACACCCACTAATGGCAAATTGGCATTACCCATGAATAATGTCTCCTTCTTTATTGCCGTGTTCCAGACACTGGAGTGGTTCAGCTCAATTACTCAGTGTTGCACAGGAGTTTTAATTAAACAAAGGGAAAAAGCTGCTGTTCCCACTGCAGATGGTTATGTCTGCTGTGGCACAGAAGGTTCCCACAGACTCTTTAACCTGATGTAAAAAAACGGGAATGGGAAAAGGCAGAGACTGTTGCTCTTCATTTTAGCCAAAACTACTAATAATTAAGAATGAAGTGACAGGGAAGAAAAGTAACTTCAAAAATATTATAATACGTAGTTTTTATGCCAGAGATTGCACAGCAGGAAAGCAAATTTTTCACCCACAGGAACCTCAGTGCCTGGATGCTATGCTATTAAATCACCGTGTCTGGGACAAAATAATTGCAAAATAAATATCTGTTAAATAAGTTGCCCTTTGAGCTTGGGAAACTGCTGACTTCATCTGAAAAATGAAAGTGTGGGATTGTTATTAGTTCCCAGACCTGACCCAGATTATCCGAGTCACTCAGGAATCTTTTGAAAGATACACATTCAGTAGGATTGCTGGGTAGAGCCCTGAATCTGTGCTTTTTGTAAGCTTCCTGGGTGCTTTTGATGTCAGACTTGAGTGGGAAACCACTAAACTCACTGAGGTGGTCCCTTCCAATCCTCACTAAGAATAAATCACAGGCTTGTGGATAGAAGTTGTGGGGCATTCTAAAATATCCTGGGATCCTAGAGGTGGCAGTGCTGCAGCCAGGTAGTGAGAGGTAATGAGGCGAGTACCGTCTTCTCTGGGCTTGCTTAGATGTGATGAAATGTCCTTGGGGCCTGGGAGCAGGCAGAGTTCCATGGCAAGAACATGTGATCGTGCCGTTCTCTACAAGGGTCTGGAAGCAAATGATCTGGACCCCCAGCATGCCTCCTGGAAACGTGTGCTTTACAAAGAGGAATGTCCTCTTTGTCAGAATGACTTACAAGTAGAGATCAATGTGAGCTCTGCTGAAAGCTGCATTAACTCTTTCAGCCACAGGGTATCACTTAGTTCAATGGAGTAGCAATTAAACAGTTTAATCCAATCACTGCCTCTGCAGGCACGCCAGCATCCCTGTGGGCCTTCAAGAGTTAACGCATTTTTCAGAAATCTCTACATTTCTCCAGAAGCGCAATAGAGTATTTGGTTGCTGATATTTACACAGTATGCCATGAGGGCAAGCGCTTTCACCGGCAGATAGACACTTTTTAAACGAATCTCTGTTTACATTGTTTCAACTGAACTTTAAAAAGTATTAAATAAGATGAGCATAGATTTTAATAAACATTAATATGTGCATTAGCATAATACCTTATAATGACATCAGAAATGATAGATCTTTTTCTAGTAGTAGAATGAATAGATACAAGACAAGAAATAAAACTGAAATTATAAACCTCACATGTTAAAAAGTAATATTTGAAGATTGTGAACCACTAATTTCTCCTAACATATGTCCTGCCCATTTAACTGAACCCAGCTAAATCATATGGATTTCCTAAAATAAAAATTAAATCAAACTATAACAAAATGAACAGAACATAAACCCTGCTTTATTAATCTAGGTTTGGTCAGTGGACATTTTAATTATGCAAACATAGAAATTATGCACAAGTGATAATAAATCTACATGGAAATATCTGTGCTGCATTTTAAAAATGTTATCAGTATATCCTAAATTACACAGAAAGCAACATTATTAGGCTTGAGTTCTATCACTACTACTTCTTACACAAGTTACTGCACCTTAGTTTGCTGAAGAATAACATGGAACGACAAATTCCCATGCTTTCCCTCATGCATTTCACAAAACTGTCTTGAAAATCCAGTAAGAGAAGCTAAGAGAGTCATTTATAAGATCCAAGCCTCATTCCATAATGCTGCCATGCATCCTCATTGCCATATGTACTGAAAAACATATTCCTTGGTCTGTTACAGATAAGCAGAATGATGTGGAAATCCCATCTCCCACCCAGAAAGACCGGGAGAAAAAGAAAAAGCAACAGCTCATGACACAGATAAGTGGAGTGAAGAAGCTGATGCACAGTTCAAGCTTAAACAATACAAGCATCTCACGCTTTGGAGTCAACACAGAAAATGAAGATCACCTGGCCAAGGTGTGTATACGCTGGGTTTGTGTGCACGTAGCAATACATGTAATGTGTTACATGTAGCTCTGCCCGTGTAACAACAAATAGTAGGTATTGCTTTTGGTGTGTGTGTGTGTGTGTGTGTGTGTGTGTGTGTGTGTGTGTGTGTGTGTGTGAGTTGAGTTCTGTAATGGACAATTTCTCATAAATAAATAATCCCTCCGAAGGGACACTGGGGGAATTTCAAGGGAAGACCAATAACTGGTCTAGATTATCATACAGGACATGTGTTGGGTCACTATGCCAAGTCCCAATGGGAATGTCTGTACAGTCTGACTGGGCTGGGCGGAAATGGAGACACTGACAGCACTGACTTTGGAGCCCGCATTCCATATGCAGAGTAAGGCATCGAGAGTTCACTCCTCTAGGCAGTCATGCAGAGGGACCATGGGAATCTGAAAGGAGCCTTTGTGAGCAAGTAAACATTCAATGACAACTTTGGAAAGTGTCATTGGAATAAACTTGATAAAGCACTATGCCGATCCACTGTGGGGAAACCTGTATGTGTTACTCCAGGAAGTTACTCAGAATGAGATAAATTACTTCTTAAGTCAAATAACGCTGGAATAATCCCTGAGCACAAGCCTGAGTAAAGCTTCCTTTAGGTCTGACTGTGGCACAGCAATCCTGCAATGTGATTGACTGGCCTTCCTCATGACCATTTTCCTCATGTTTAGGCTGAGTTCTGCACACGCTAGTGGCTGCATCTCCCTGATCTGATGCTCAGTGACAATAGCCAGAGGGCAGAGTAAACTCCCTGAGACTGTTCTCTGGCTGCTAAGAATGGGTCAGAGAGCTGAGAGGGAGGAACCAAGAAATGGGGCTGAAATGATCATTATTCACTATAGCCATCTTTGAAAAGCTCATTCATAGCAGTGAAATTCATAAATTGATCAACACTCTATTTTATTTTAAAAATGGTTAGAAACTTGTGGTTGTGAAAAGTGTATCCAATCTTCTAAATAATTAATAATTCTTTTTTCAAATAGTCAGACAATTAGAAAATTATACATAGAAATTGGAAAAACTTAGGCTACCTTTGTTCAAAAAATAAATTTTAAGGGAAGAGATAAGCTAACAAAAGTGCATTTGGTCATAAATTCCTCTCATTTTGATTACAGGAGCTAGAAGATCTGAATAAATGGGGATTGAATATCTTCAATGTGGCTGGATATTCACACAATAGGCCTTTAACTTGCATCATGTATGCTATATTCCAGGTAAGTAAACAGGAGTGAAATGTTGATCCGCCACTTCTATTGTTCTTTATTATTTTTTCTCATCCCAGTTTCCTCTTTTGATTTAAACTCCTTTTGTCTTTAAACATCCACTTATTTGTGTCCTAATCCATTGTATTACGTAGGAAAGAGACCTCCTAAAGACATTCAAAATCTCATCTGACACATTTGTGACCTACATGATGACTTTGGAAGATCATTACCACTCTGATGTGGCATATCATAACAGCCTCCATGCTGCTGATGTGGCCCAGTCAACACACGTTCTTCTTTCAACACCAGCTTTAGATGTGAGTAATTATAATCTGTTTTGTATATATGCCTATCCTGCTTGTAAAATGTTATGCAGTATTTATTGACAAAATTAATGTAACTGAACTTGCATCATTAAGCTGGTGATTTATTAAGTACAATATCTATCAATTGTATTACTTATAAAGCTGGATTATCTCTCATTTTGCTTTGCCTTTGAGTATCAAGGAAACCTTTCCTTAATATCACTTGCAATTGGGAATTACCTAATTATTAAACAGCTAACAGATTATTGATGGCAGAAGCCATACCTTACTCGTCATTGCGGTCCTAGTAAGGGCTACAATATATCCCAAAGTGCCTGGTACATATCATATCCTCCATACCCATGGGTTGGTATGAATCACCCAGTACCATTTCAGGCACTGAAGAAGGAATGACAGAGATGTAATATGAATTGTGCTTGGGATTCCTGCTGGGAAAAGATATTCACTGGCTTATTCTTCTAAGAATTCATAAAACTAATTCTCTGAGGTGAAAAAAAGTCACTAAAATTCTAGAACAGAGGAATTAGTAATGGTGAAACATATATATATATACTTGAATTTTTGAACTTTCTGTTACAATTTCATATAGACTGAGATTTCCCTCCAAACTCCCACCCCCCTGACAGATTTTCCCCATTTTACTACAGTGGCATAGTACTTCATAAGGAATCATAATTCCATCAGTCTCTTTAACATTGCTGGTACAGGCAATGTCAGACAGTCCAGCATCCCATTGTCTGCACATTTTCAACAGTTTTATTGGGAATCTATCTAAGGAGATGTTCATTGTGTCCTTAAGTACTAGGATTGGTCCTAATGTGAGAGGTAGAAATTTATCTGGTGTTTGAAGCACCAAATGTTTTAAAAAGTCACAGATAATGAGCAAAGATATTCAGTCCCCAAATCAGAAATATGTACCTAATAAATACTAGATAATTTAAGTCATTATACATGGCTGGGAGTAAAGAAGTCATCATGATATTAGCCTGGAGGGCTTACAGTGGGGGGTGTTAAGCTAAGCTTAAGAATTTTCTCATATCTTGTCCATGGTAAACATTTAGTGGATATGCATTGTTTGAGTGAATTGATGAATATACCGAAGTTTGTGACCACACTATAAATTTAGCTCTGGGAAGCAATTGTTGTCTCTTATGATCTGTAGCTTTTTTTTTTCTCTCAGTTATTAAGCTGAATGCATAAGAACTTTATTACATCTGAGACTGGAGCCAGTCTGGCATGCTTTTTTTCAACTTGTATGTACTTGTGTTACATAAGTAATATGCTGTTATACCACTGTTCCAAGAAGCAAACAGGATGTGTATACACACACAATAAGCACTGTACTACTGCTTTCCAAGCCTCAGCCTGAGGACTTGCTGTGAGAATGAGCTCTAGCTCTCATCGCTATCACTGCATGGTGATGATGAGCAGCACAATATATATTTAATTAACATACTGAAATATAATTATAGCTCATAATACCTTTACCAGCAATGAAAGGGAGTGCTTGAAGATTAAACTAACTAACCAGGATGTGGGATTAACTGTGTTCTCTTTGTCCCTTCTAGGCTGTCTTCACAGATCTAGAGATTCTGGCTGCCATTTTTGCAGCTGCCATCCACGACGTGGATCACCCTGGAGTCTCCAATCAGTTCCTCATCAACACAAGTGAGTTCACCACTGGTACAGATAATTGTGTGATTCGCTGTACTTTTTACCTCCCGATGTTTTCGTTATGGATAATAACAAGGGCAATGATGAGGTAATACTTCCATTGCACTCTGCTCAGGCCTTTCCTGGATACCGTGTGCAGTCTGGTAACACAATGTGTGAGGCACATGGAGCATTTGAGGAGGCTCTTAATGTTTTCAAAGTACAATATGAAAGGAAAAAATAGCACATGTGGAAATATCCAAAAAAGACAAGGCAGGTTTTGATAATAAGGTGATAGGACTTTGAATAAGATGCTGTGCTCTCACACAGAGCACAGTAGCCTACAAGTGTCCTCTCTGGGCAAGCAAGCACAATGTTGGATTGGAGCATGGCAACCTCCAAACAGAAACAAGATGCTCCTAAGTGCACTGGACCAGGTTTCCACAGTTCAGGAAGAAGGATAATTTAAAAAGTTCCACAAGTTCCACATGTTCTCTTCCAACTGCATAGGTTTGTTGATGGATTGTCTGTAGCTGACTTTGTAACAACTTAACATTTAGACTTGATCTGTCCTTAGAAACCCAAACATGATTCAGGGCTTTTGTCATGCTCACACTGTTTGGTTTGCATGCTAAGAAAGATTTTCCGTTCTCTCATAGATAATGCATTATCTTCAGGTTCTGAAAATCTAAGCACTTTTTTTTTCTGAGAAAACTGATTATTGTGCTGTGGTCATGACTAACATCAAGTGCTGACGTTTTTATAGAAATGATGTCTGAGCTACTTGCTACGAAAGAGTCCTTGTCATCATTCCTAATTTTTAATCATCAAAATATTTGAGTATTGTAGATTTAAGATGTCATCCTGTTTTTCTTTCATTCTTTTTTTTAATCTCATACCTTTACTGAAAAAAAAAATCTAAATTTTAAGTGGCTGCCTGTCTCCTCATGTTATACGAGTTGTCGTAGTGTGGAGCCATGAACCCATTCATATAGAGGTTCACAAAGAAAAAGAAAAAAATGAAAATGGTCTTTCTGCTACAGCCCCCTGAAGCACAGCAGCATACAAATCTTGCTTTTGGCTTTATACCCTTGATCACAGTGTGAACAGGGTAAGAGTGGTCAAATGACTTCACGGAACTTCCTGCCCTTTCTGAGAATGTTCTTTAGAATCCACTAAATCCACTAAATAACACATTACCATTTTATTCTTGACAAAGAGAAAATATGGTTTCACGATTTTGGTGATCATATTCCCACATGAAAAGTTTTATCTAATCAAAGAGTCTGATTCTTTTATGTAAAAGACAGGCTGGATCTCTGATATAAGCAATCAAGAATACAGAAAAAGTTATCATCCTGATTATTGTAAAGACAATATTGTTAGTTTATCTACCATATTTACAGGGTGCCTCAAAAATCTGGTATTTAATAAAATGAATTTTTAAACTACTGCATTTCATCTTCTTTGAAAATCTGAAATGCAGCTTAGCCAGGGATTAAATACAGCAAAGTGAGTGTGGTTTGAAAGTCTTAACACATTTGAGAAAGTATAATAATCTGTTGTTCTTTTCTAAAACACAGCATGTTGAAATGCAAGGGAAATCACAAACTAAGATTGCAAAATTATCTTTTAGCTGCTTAGAATCATACTAATGTCAAATTCTTTTTCTAAAATACAGATTGACAAAAAAGGAATCATAGAGTTAGTGAATCTTAGTCAAAGAGTAAGGTTATGCTCTAGTATCTACAGGAAGAATTTTTGTTGTTGTTGTTGTTGTTAGAAGAGGCACTTCTCTAGGAGGGAATGGCAGGTGGATGGTGGTTCTTGAAGTAATTTGTAGATTTCATGTTGAGGTGATGCCAGTGCTTTATCCCTTTGTATTTACTCATCATTTTGTTGTTATTAGATTCAGAGCTTGCTCTGATGTATAATGATGAGTCTGTGTTGGAAAACCATCACCTTGCTGTGGGTTTCAAACTGTTGCAAGAAGAACATTGTGACATCTTCCAGAATCTCACCAAGAAGCAGCGTCAGACACTCAGGAAAATGGTCATTGACATGGTATGGAATTCAACTTCTCTTTTCCTTACATTTGTCTATTTTATACTTACACTTACTTATTCTTTTGGGCAGACTGGGTTTATTAACAGGTTTTGGGTTTTTGTCTTTTTTTTCCAAGGTGTTAGCAACTGATATGTCCAAACATATGAGCCTGCTGGCAGACCTGAAGACAATGGTAGAAACAAAAAAAGTTACAAGTTCAGGTGTTCTTCTCTTGGACAACTACACTGATCGTATACAGGTATTTCATTTAAAAGCGAAAAACTTTACCACAGAAACAACCCAAAGCTAGTCAAAGAAGTAGAAGAGGAGGAAAATAGACTTAAATTTAGTTTAGTTGCATGTCCTAGGCTGTTAGTACAGCTTTGAGACTATTTTAAGAACAAGCTAAGGAAAATGAACATTCAAGCTTGTCCTCCAATTTATAAGGAAAAACATAGCCCTATTTATTGAATTACTTAGTTCCAAAAATAAACTGAAAAATCTATTTGTAATAGGACATACGTGACTGCTGGTCCCAAAAACATGTATTTTGATACAAATCCCATAGACTAGAAATTTGTTAGTTCTGTTTTGGTTGTACAAATTGTCATCAGATGGTCTCCTCTTTCCACAAGTGGAAAATATGAAGACATCCACTTAGTAATTCTTTGCATTCTTTCCAAACTGTGGAAAGGACATCATAATAGCATAGCATTGGGCCTCTAACATTCCTGTCAGCCTGAGAAGGCATATATTCTCCCCTTTGGGTCTGTATAAAGTTAAAAAAAAAAAAACCTGATCAATACCATAGCAAGATTGCTTTCCTTGGAGCACACATCATAATTATCATGCAACTAAAATGTTCTTGAATTTGGTCCCAAGTGTACTAGGAAGAGAGATAGGAGGTGTTCTGGCAGTATTTACACGTAATTTAATGAGGTTTCCCCAATTCATTTGCAGGTCCTTCGCAACATGGTACACTGTGCAGACCTGAGCAACCCCACCAAGTCCTTGGAGCTGTATCGTCAATGGACAGACCGCATCATGGAAGAATTTTTCCAACAAGGAGACAAAGAGCGGGAGAGGGGGATGGAGATCAGCCCAATGTGTGATAAACACACAGCTTCTGTGGAAAAGTCCCAGGTAATTACAATGAGATTTTCAAAGCTTCTGTGAGTTCTGCTGATTGTAGAAATATAGAGTTCAAACTAGTCCCTTTGCTTTTATAGAAGATAGATACATGGATAGAACAGTAGATAGGCAGATGGGTGCATAGGTAGATAGAAACATACACATCATGAAAATGAAGCCATTGTATGTTTTGTTCCATTACACTTATGACAAATTTCCCTTCTTCGTTATGCACAATTTCACAGGGCAGGGGTAAAATTATCATCAGAAACCCATACCAATTGACACTGTATTGTTAACTGCCCCTGATCATAGTAATCCAGGTGGTTCAACTGAGTGTTGGTGCTCCCCTCACCACCCTCCCCACTAGATTTCTCGCAGCTTTGCTTTCCCCCAAGAGCACCATTCCTCATTCTTCATCCAGTACCTTCTCATTGCTGTCTCTTGTGATCAAGCTTACTGTCACCATCCCTAGAGGTAGACTTATTCCTCATAGTCAAAGCCTTGTCACGTGTCCCATTTCAAGACATAGCTATACATTTGGGCACAGGCTAACATTTTCTGGTTGTGTCCAAAGCTACAAATTCTCACAGACAGAGTATGGGAGAAATTGTTCTGAGGAAGAGAGAGTAGAGACGCCCCAGGCACCAGGGGTGAGGAGTTTGCAGCACTGGAGGGACATGTATCCTTGCAAAGCCTTCAGGCACCACCGAAATGTCATTTTTTAGGGGAAAAAATGGACTAAGCATTTGGCTATGATTCAGAATGGGTTCATGTATTTGTCCAAAGTCTTTATCACAAAAACATGAGGATACTTGCTGTAGTGTCAATTTCCTTTCCTCTCTACTACAAATCCCAAATTGACATATATTTCTAATAGCAATATACAGTTCCTTTGTAACCATTTTATTACTTCTTAAAGAAAAAACAACTAAATTAGTATAAAATCTGTAAAAGTGAAGTATGCAATAAAATTCAAGAGGACATTGAGTTAATCAGGGCCAGTTCTAAGATTCTAAAGCCTGTATTAGAACAAATTAAAGAGAAATAACACCCCACTCACTATTAACTGTAATGTTTTGAATTTATTTGATGTTTGTTGGCCTTTCATCACATTTTTCCACACATCATCCCAACTGGAGCCCAAACAGCCTCATGAATTAGATAAGGCAGCTATTTTCCCAGTGTGTCAGACGAAGAAGCTGCCACTTGTGACACTTCACCAGCTTCATGGTTACCCAGCTCTCCTCCACCCAAAGTTCTTCACTCCCCGATGTTGTGGATTGGCCTCCCTGTTGCCACAACTCCATCTTCTCTCCTGCAGATGAGCTCTATTGAATACTCGCTGATGAGTCTAACAATAAATCTCTTTCCTAGGTGCTCTTATGATCTGCAGAATTCATTTAACCCATAACCTAGGAAAGAAGCAACTAGCAACTACCCATCAAAAATAGTCCTAAGCAATTTTTTAGCAGAAAGGAAATGCCTGCACAGTGTTCAGCTTATTCAGTTTTCCACAGTGCCTTGAGTTTGTTTCAGGTCCCTGGAAAACATCTTGAAAATAGTCTCTAAAATCCAGTAAACACATTTGAAGAAGCAGATAGAATAAAAAAAGAGTGGGTAGGTACAAGAGAAATATCTGAATCACTCATAGTCAATTTGTCATAACCAAATGTGGATTAGAAATGCCCTGTCTTTGGTGTGAATATTATTTGTTAAGTGCAAAGTAAAGAATGTATTTGAAAAATACGTCTGAGAAAGGCTTCTTATATGTGATAGAGCTTAGATGCGGTGAGTGTCTGGCCAACTATTAGAATGATAACAAAGAGCAGTTTGCAGTGGAGTGGAAAGGGAACTACTGAATGTCCCATGGATGACCTTGCTCATCTCCTTCTGTGTCCGAACCCAGCCTTCTCTCCAGCCCCCCAGACCATGACAGGGGAATTCCATTCCCTCATTCAGCGAGTGCCTATTCTTTCTTTACCTGCCCCTTCCCCCAGTATTTCCTGTTTGTCCAACAATGTAGAGGTCAGCATAAGGCCACAGAGCTAGCTCATGCAGGATGCATAGCCCCTGTGTAAACCATAACAGAGCCATAACCCTCATATTTATTCACAGGAACACCAGCGAAAGGAACTGTTTAATTGTTTTTATTCGCCCCTCTTTCTCCTGATGGAAATGACTGTGTGCACTGTGCATCCAAAACAATTGCAGATGTATTCACAGAGGGAGCCATTGTTTGTTTGGACCTGAAAGATTTTAAAGGTTTTATCAAACTCTGCTATAAGCCAAACATATCCCATAGAGCTTGAGGGGCAAGCTCCCCATTATTCTAGCGCAATGGCCAATGTGAAGTTATCTTGAAAATACATTGAGTCAGACTCCCTTAGACCTAGGCTTTCCTTCTTCAGAGGGTGACTCACAGAACCCAAACAGTGGAAAGTCATTCCCAGCCAGGCTTCCATTCAGACTCCTTGAGGAAATACACTCTGATGTAGTGAGACAAGCAAAGGCTATGGAATCAGACCCTGGCTGCTCTAAGTCCTAACTCTACCACTTCCATGAGCTCTGACAAGATGTTTAATCTTAGTAAGTCTTAGTTTCCTGTTTTGTAAAAGGAAGGTATCAGTACTTACTTGGCAGGATTAAGAGGGATCATCCATACATCATATCCAGTATAAAACCAGCAATACAGAAAAGTGCTCAAATTATTATTATTATTATTGGTAAGCTTCCTGGCTTTGCTGCTGCTCTCCCTTTGCGTGAAGACCAGGGCAGCTTGTTAGATGTTCAAAAGCTCATGACAATAACAGATGCATGCTCTTATTTTTCTCCAGGTTGGTTTCATTGACTACATTGTCCATCCACTGTGGGAGACCTGGGCAGATCTGGTGCAGCCTGATGCTCAGGACATCCTGGATACACTAGAAGATAACAGGAACTGGTATCAGAGCATGATCCCTCAGAGTCCCTCTCCACCACTGGACGAGAGGAACAGAGACTGTCAGGGCCTCCTGGAGAAGTTTCAATTTGAACTGACTCTGGAAGAGGAGGATTCTGAAGGACCTGAGAAGGAGGGTGACGGCCACAGTTATTTCAGCAGCACAAAGACACTTTGTGTGATCGATCCAGAAAATAGGGATTTGCTGGGAGAGACTGACGTAAACATTGCGACAGAAGACAAGTCCCCAGTTGACACATAATCTCCCTCTTGCTGTGGAGAAGAACATTCCATCTTTGACAAGCATGCCAACTATGTGGTAGGGTCAGCCTGCCATGGGGGCCAAGGCCTACACAGGATAAGGGCCACCTGGCCTTTCAAGTTACTTGAGTTTGGAGACAGAATGCAAGGTCATGAAGCAAATAGCAGCTCAGGAAATTCCACACTTGACTTGCCTTGCTTGCAAGCATGGTGGAGAGCTGAAGCTTCATGTGGTAGTAGAGGCCAGTGTTGATCACAACTAAGATGGCTTGAAAATGGAAGACACAAAACTGAGAGATTTTTCTGCACTAAGTTTCAGGAACCTGTCCTTGCTAGTGAGTGAACTTACTAATAACGTCATTGATAAACCTGCTCACCTGTCCCCTTGTCTGCCAACCTGTGTGCCTTTTTTGTAAAGCATTTTCACGTCTTTAAAAATGCCTGTTGAATACCTAGAGTTAAGTATCGACTTCTACACAGATAAGAATTTAAAGTTCACCCAAACTTTTTCGGCTTTCTGGGGAGTTAAAAAAAAAAAACAGGAAAGGAAACTGTCTTCCTTCTTTCTTGGGCAATATCTTTCACATTACTACAGTTAATTGCGAGCAGACAGAAAGGATGCACTTCTAACCACACTGTGTTTCCTTCCCCTGTTGTCCAATCCAATTCCACAACTGGCCTTATAATTTATCTCGCTTGCCTGCTTCCAACAGTATCTCTTCTCGTCTAGAGTTTCCTTGTTGTTGCTGTAAACAGAATAAAGTTGAACAAACTAAGGGGCAGGAAGGGTAGTTGTGTTGTTCACCGTGAAAGTCTGTGTCATGCTCAGCTCAAAAGTCAGTGTGCCCTGATCTGTACTAGATGCGTGTGCCACTGCGAGTTGCATGATCCCTCGTCCTCCTTCTCCCCTCTTCACACAAAGACGCTGTTTCAATTTAATGCTGCCATCTTCCTCTTGCACTGCCTTCTGCACTAACACCTCCATTCCTGTTTATAACCATGTATTTATTACTTAATGTACATAATGTAATGTTTTGTAAGTTATTAATTTATATATCTAACATTGCCTGCCAATGGTGGTGTTAAATTTGTGTAGAAAACTCTGCGTAAGAGTTCAGAATTTTTCTTGTAAGATTTTGTATTGTGTATTATATATATAACCCAAACACTGCTTCAGAGAGATGTATGCCCTGCTCAGCAGTAATGACTGGGGGCTTTTGTCCAGAGTTTGCCTTTTCCTTAAGTTGCTAATGATGCACAACCTCTTTATGAACCGATTTTGCAAACAGGATTCTCACATTAGATACTAAATGGTTTATACTGAGCTTTTACTTTTATATAGTTTGATAGGGATAGTGGGCAATGGGACATAGTTTATACCCATGTTCCATCCAAATCTGTATACGCATGAGTTGGGTTCTAACTGGGTTCTATTATAATTGTGACTTCGGTTCAAAAAGAAACACTACATTTGCTCACAGAAAATTTTACTGCAAGTTTGCAAACTACTGACTGAAGAGCTAGCCTCCTGCCTGCCATGACGCAAGGATGTCATGTTCCCATTCATTATAAAACAATAAAGCAATGTGAATTTTTATGATAAAATGTGAACTGATGTAGTATCTTAAGCAAATGTGAAGCTTCTTCTGATAACACTCGTTAGGCTTCTTCCTGGTGTCAGTTTCAGTTTGTAACATATGTTTCATGCTTCAGTTCAGCATTGTGACTCCATAGATAACGAAAGTGGCACAATTGGGCATGACCAATAGGCTTGTGTGTCTATGAACACTGCATTGTTTCAGGTGGACATTTTATTTTCTCAAATGTTTCTCACAATGTATGTTATACTATTATATATTGTGTTCAAATGCATTCTTAAGAGACTTTTATATGAGGTAAATAAACAAAAGCATGATTAAATCAGGCTGTTCTGATTGGTTCTAATGCATTCGAAGTAGATCTTTCTCTTCTAAATCACCCCACCCCACAAGGAAAGCCAACCACTCTGCCTGGCCAGTCTTACACAGCTGCATGTTCAGAATCCAAGTCTTAAAGTTACCCAGCTCAGAATGTTTCACTTCTTTCTTTGCAACTGTTCACTCAGCTCAGTGGTAAGCAGAGTGGTTTGTGAAGGGAAGCAAACAAAACCACTTGATTCACCGTGAACCATTTCCTTCTCTTTAAGAGTTTAAAGTACCAGATTAAAAAAAAAAGAGGGGGGGGGGGACTCCTCAACTTGGCTGAGTCCTCTAGAAAAGTAAACCATAGGCTTGTAAAGCACCAGGGAAATTTAGTCGGGTAATCTTGTTGACTCACTTGACACATGAAGAATCTAACATCCGAAGAATCATCTTTCACCACAATCCACAGAGTGCGGGTGGACCTTGGGATCTTCTCAATGATCCATGAACTCTGTGTGATCATCTGCTTATGCTTTTCTTTCTGGAAAGAACTGCTCAAGTATCATAGATAAAATACACAAATGCTTGGTTAGAATCTTAAAGTCAACATTTAATAAATATATATCCTTAAAGAATGTATGTGTGTGTGTGAGTGAGTGGGGGGGGGGAGAGCAGAGAGAAAGAGAGAAAGATGAGACACACAGAGAGAGAAATATGAAAAGTTGCAATGTAAAAAAAAAAAAATGATTGAATGGCCCTTCCACAGGGAAGTGTCTGTGAATCAGCAAGGGGATCTCTTATTGACCTCTACCCTATAAGCTGAACGGCAAGTGAAAATCAGCCAGAGCTGTGGACCCACTCTACCTGCTGGCTGTAGAGTCAAGTCTTGCATCTTCTGCCATCACTGACTTTTAGTGGTAACTCATTGTCTGAGCTTTTACAAACTCAGTCACAAACACGACTTTCCAATGCCCAGAGCTATAAATATTTTTAAACATTTACAGTTCTGTATTCTTTAAGAAGTGGTTCTTACCTTGTACAAATCAGAATCATGTGGAGAATGGTTCTGGTTTTGTTTTAAATATACTTATTTGGCCAGCCAGCCTTTCACCTTTCTGAATTAATTTGCCTTGGGCAGCCATCAGATTTTTTTCCCAGATAATTCTTTTATTCAGGCAGAGAACCATTGCTTCCAAGCTGAAAACCGTGATTCTAGAGCTAAGACTTTCTTGCACCCCAGTTCTCGTTAGAGAGTTGATCACTGAGCATTCATGCTAGGCAGCATTTCATGCAAAATAGAGCTATTTTTCAACAATAATTTAGGTTATGTCGTGTGTGTGTGTGTGTTTATTTTTGCTTTTCTCAGTGACGTCTTGTGTCTGGATGAGTTGCGACTTCATGATTTTGTTATTTTTTTACACCCAGGTCTCAAGCATATCCAAGTGAAAACCCAAATCAGGCCAAGATAATCTGAATGAGGCCAGGGATCTGTCTGGTGCTTTCCCCTTTGCATAATGCCTGACCGTATTCCCGGAAAGGAGTTGATTAGCCAACATTTACTGAATCAATATGGATGTTGATGACAGCAAAAGGTTTTAACAGGAAGCTCAGGAGAACATACATTCTATGTATTTTAACTTTCTGTTTCTTTCACTCCTTGGCAGTGATCTGTTTTCAGACCTGTCTCCTCACTCATCAGTGCACCTCCCAAGAGGAGACAGTGATTTTTTGTTACTTCTTCAGTCATTCTAACTTTCTCCATCAAGCACTGTTCATTTGATTATTTGTGACGTTTAACCACCTACTACTGGATTTTCTAGAACCTTTCCCAAGATCTGGTTTTGCTATCTCTTAAGCTGTGAGAATTTGAAAAAACAACTTAAATTTTCTGAGATTCAGTCTTTCATCACTAAATGGAGCTGAAAATAGACATGTAGAGTTAGACCTAATATTGCATATAGTAGATACTCCATAGATCTTTCTTGTTTTGATAAATGTACTTATGGGAGAAGGGATTAATAAACAATAAAAAAGATTTAGGAAAAAACACCTTTGCCTCTAAAAAGCATAGTCCACACCACATTTTGGCTAAGTTTTTTGAAGAATCCAGGTTTTTCTGCAATTTTGCACAGTTCCAAGAAGGTAAAAAGATAAATGCGCTCACTCCAAACCACTAATATGGATGTGTGCTGCCACTGATAGGTTCAGTGAATTGTAAGAATGTTTGTGAATGGTATTATTCACCCTTATTCATTACAGCAGATCACTTCCAAGAACATATGTGATTGCAGGCATTCTGTTTGGAATATTTAACATTATCCTTTTGAAATCACCAAAATTGTTAGGTTTCTGAGTGGGGAACAAATTATATTCCTCTAAAGCCTAAAACTTTCTTTCTGGTCTCTTTTACTACTATTGTCAAACATTATGAGGGTCTTCAAAGAGTCCACAGCAAATGCATATTCTGGGACCCAGCACAGTAGCCTAGTGGCTAAGGTTCTCACTTTGCATGTGCTAGTATCCCATATGGGCACAGGTTCGTTTCCTACCTACTGCTCCACTTCCCATACAGCTCCCTGCTTGTGGCCTGGGAAAGCAGTCGAGGACGGCCCAACGCCTTGGGACCCTGCACCCGTGTGGGAGACCCGGAAGAAGTTCCTGGATCCTGGCTTTGGATCAACATAGCATTGGCCGTTGCGCTCACTTGGAGAGTGAATCATCGGATGGAAGATCTTCCTCTCTGTCTCTCCTACTCTCTATATCTGACTTTCCAATAAATAGATAAATCTTTTAAAAAAAAAGCATATTTTGAAAAACTGCCATGCAGATTTCAAAATTATTTTGTATGCCAGCCGATCTTGCATTATTCAGGGTTGACATCCCATTTGGGTACATATTATAGTTCCAGCTTCTCCAGCTCCCTGCTTGTGGACTGGAAAGGCAATAGAGGATGACCCAGGGCCTTGAAACTCTGCACAACATGTGGAAGACCTGGAAAACTTCCTGGCTCCTGGCTTTGGATCAGCTCACTTCTAGGCTGGCTCCAGCCACTGGGGCCATTTGAGGCGTGAACCAGCAGATGGAAAACTGCTCTTTGTTTCTGCTTGTCCCTATAAACTTGTCTTTCATTATTAAAAAAAACAAACAAAACAAAATAAAAATCTGCACTATTTTGCACCAAAGACAAACATCATTTATTTCCATTTTCACATATATTTTGTAGTGTATCTTCATACATGCTATTTATATTTTAATCTTCTTTTCTAATTAAAAATAGAATCCACATTTTTTACTATGTGGCCTTGGGAAAGCTTGTATGACCTTTTTGTGTGTCTTCATCTCTAAAATAAAGCACCTGCATTGTAAGACTGTTTTGAGAGTGAAACGGAACTGCTAAGCAGGGAGGATTTCTGGAGTAACAGTTAAGAGGTCTCTTGGGCTACCTTTTTCCTATGTTGGAGTATCTTCCCATTCGCCTCCCACTAATGTGTACTCCAGGATAGAGCAGGCACAAGTGGTTGGATCACTGTCATCCAAGTGTGGCCCACATTGAGTTCTGGGTTCTAGACATCAGCCTATCCCAATCATGGCTGTTTCAGACATTTGAGAATTTCTCTAAGACATTTCAAATAAATAGGATAATTTTTTTAAAAAATAAGATTAAAGCATTTAGTGTGTGGCCCATTGTATGTATTCATACAGGTTATTACATATACAGCTAGAGGTGGCTCATTTGTTACCCTGTAGCTTCTTTAACTATTTTTCATGTGACTTTGTGCACCATTCTGGTCAATCATCATAGTTTGCCCAAATTGACAGGGCTTGTCATATGACCAACATCCCAGAACTAAGGACCATGTTCATTCTTGGTAGGGCACAAAATAACTTATTCTTCTTTGTTATGGACCTTGTTCCAAAATTCAAAACTGTATTCTTTGGGAGAAATTTTAGTTACCCACAGGGATGGTTTATTAAGTGCTTACATTTAAACCAAATCATTCACACTTTTTTACATTAACCATTCAACTGAATCTATTCCATTCTGTACTTGTACATTGAGTTTCTGAAACCAAGTGCCAAATTAATATTTGAATGATATATTTCAACTGGGTGGGGGCGGGGAAGAACACAGGAAAGATTGCTTTCAGTTGTCATGTCAGATTTTTTCTTTTCTTTCTTCCTTCCTTTCTTCTTTATTTTTATTAAGATTTATTTATTTGAAAGAAGAGCCAGTAAAGACAGAAATAGGGCCTGATGCAATGGCCAAGCAGCACAATGGCCTAGTAGCTAAATCCTCCTCTCATATGTGCTAGGATCCCATACGATCCCACGTGGGCCTTAGTTTATATCCTAGCTGCTCTACTTCCCATCCAGCTCCCTGCTTGTGGTCTGAAAAACCAGTAGAGGGTGGCCGAAACATTTTGGGAACCTGTAAGCATGTAGGAGACCTGGAGGAAACTCCTGGTTCCTGCTTTGGATCAGCTCAGCTTTGGTCATTGCAGAAACTTGGGGAGTGAATCAGCAAATGAAAGATCTTTCATTCTATCTCCTTCTCTCTGTAAACCTGCCTTTCCAAATAATAATAATAATAATAATAATAATAATAAATTAATTAATTAAAAAAAAAGACAGTGGATAAACAGAGAGAGGGAGGGAAAGAGATCTTACATCCACTGGTTTAATCTGTAAGTGGCTCCAGCAACTGGGCTTAGTCCAAAAGCCTGAGATGATGATGATGAAGCCAAAAGCCTGAAACTCCTTACTAGTTTTCCACATTGGTAGCAGGGGCCCAGGTACTTGGGAAATCTGCTGCCTTTCTAAGTACATTTTCAGGGGACTGAATCAGATGTGGAGTGTGGGGCTTAGGGGCAAAGAGGTCTCTAAGTCAATAAGATGGCGACCAACAGTCAAGGTCACTGGCAGGCAAGATGGTGGCCAAAGACAGAGCCCTGGGCATGAACCTGGGGAGGAGTCACATCATTTCAAAGAAAGACTGATTGGCCAGGGCCATTTCACTCA